CCGGGGAAGGCCAATGTGGTGGCCGATGCTTTGAGTCGCCGGGCAGAGAATTTGGGGAGTTTGGCCTATCTTCTAGTAGCAGAGAGACCCTTAGCATTGGATGTTCAGGCCTTATCCAACCAAATTGTGAGATTGGATATTTCTGAGCCGAGTCGAGCCGAGTGTTGGCTTGTGTGGTCTCTCGGTCTTCTCTTTATGATCGCATCAGGGAGTGATAGTATGATGACCCCCACATGTTTGTCCTTAAGGACACGGTCCAGCACGGTGATGCTAAAGAGGTCACTATTGGGGATGATGGCGTATTGAGGATGCATGGCATGCTATGTGTGCCTAATGTGGATGGTTTGCGTGAGTTGATTCTTCATGAGGCTCATAGCTCGCGGTACTCTATTCATCCGGGTGCTACGAAGATGTATCAGGATTTGAGGCAGCATTACTGGTGGAGGAGGATGAAGAAGGACATAGTGGAGTATGTGGCTCGGTGCCTAAATTGTCAGCAGGTGAAGTATGAGCATCAGCGACTGGGTGGGTTGCTTCAGAAGTTAGAAATTTCGGAGTGGAAATGGGATCGGATCATTATGGATTTCATTGTTGGACTCCCACGGACTCAGCGGAGGTTTGATGCGGTTTGGGTGATTGTGGATAGGCTGACCAAGTTAGCTCATTTCATCCCTATGATGACTACATATTCTTCCGAGCAGCTAGCTCGAATCTACATCTGTGAGATCGTCAGGCTTCATGGCGTACCGATATCTATTATCTTTGATTGGGGTACACAGTTTACATCGCGGTTCTGGAGAGCCGTATAGCAGGAGTTGGGTACTAGAGTGGAGTTGTGCACAACATTTCACCCTCAGACGGACGGACAGTCCGAGCGCACTATTCAGATATTAGAGGATATGCTTTGTGCGTGTGTGATGGAGTTTGGAGGGTCATGGGACCAGTTCTTGACACTTGCGGAATTTGCCTACAACAACAGCTATCAGTCGAGCATCCAGATGGTACCGTATGAGGCTCTGTATGGTAGGCGGTGTCGGTCCCCAGTGGGTTGGTTCGAGCCGGGCGAGGCCAGATTATTGGGTACAGACTTGGTCCAGGATGCCCTGGATAAGGTGAAGGTGATTCAGGATCGACTTCACACAGCCCAGTCCAGACAGAAGAGTTATGCGGACCGGAAGGTTCGCGATGTAGCATTCATGGTTGGAGAGCGGGTCTTGCTCCGGGTATCGCCTATGAAAGGCATTATGAGGTTTGGAAAGAAAGGCAAGCTGAACCCAAGATATATTGGTCCTTTTGATATGTTGCGGCGTGTTGGGAGGTTGTTTATAAGATTGCCTTGCCTCCCAGCCTTGCAGGGGTTCATCCAGTATTCCATGTTTCTATGCTCCAGAAGTATCACGGCGACCTGGCTCATGTATTGGATTTCAGCTCAGTCCAGATGGACAAGGATCTATCTTATGTTGAGGAGCCAGTGGTTATTTTGGACAGGCAAGTCAGAAAGCTGAGGTAAAAGAATATTGCTTCAGTAAAGGTTTAGTGGAGGGGTCAACCGGTTGAGGAGGCGGCTTGGGAGATCGAGCAGGATATGCGCGGCCGTTATCCTCATCTTTTCACAGCTTCAGATATGTCTCTATACTCGTTCGAGGATGAGCGATTGTTTTAAGAGGGGAAGGATATAACGACCTGGCCGATCGTTTTAAGAGTTATAGCCCCGAACCTCTATTTATTGCTTTCCCCATATCTAATTCTGCTATTGTGACTAGCCGGGAGGTTTTGTTTTGGTTTTTGGAATATTTTTGGGACACTTAGTCCCTAAACGGAAGTCTTAGGATTTGGATCGTAGTCGGAACTATGTGAAGACAACTCAGGAATGGAGTTCTCTCGATTCAGCTAGCTCCGTTGGATGATTTTGGGCTTAGAGGAGTGTCCGGATTGTGTTTTGGAGGTCCGTAGTTTATTTAGACTTGAAATGGCAAAAGTCGATTTTTTGGAGATTTGGACCGGTGGTGAAATTTTTGATATCGGGGTCGGATTCTGATTTCGGAAGTTGGAGTAAGTCTGTAATGTTGAATATGACTTGTGTGCAAAATTTGGGGTCAATCGGACGTGGTTTGATTGGTTTCGGCATCGGTTGTCGAATTTGGAAGTTTCAAGTTCTTTAAGTTTGAATCGGAGGATGATTCGTGATTTTTGCATTGTTTGGTGTGGTTTGAGAGTTCGACTAAGTTCGTATGGTATTTTAGGACTTGTTGATATGTTTGTTTGAGGTCCCGGGGGCCTCGGGTTGATTTCGGATGATTAACGGACCTTTTGAACTTAAGAAAAGATAGTAGATTTCTGGTGTTTTTGTTACAGACATTTCTTTTTTGCGTTTGCGAGAGAGGTCTCGCGATCGCGTAGGGCATCTGTGAGACCAGCTCAAGTTTGTTCTTCGCATTCGCACAAAGGAGATCGCGTTCGCGAAGATATGGTCAGTGGAAGCATCGCGAACGCGAAGAGTGGAACGCGTTCGTGTAGAGGAAGTGAGACAACTGGGGACCCTAGTCATTTGGTCTACGTGTTCGCGTAGTGGGTATCACGTTCGCGAAGGACCAGGAAGTGAAAAGTACGCGTTCGCGAGAGGTCCCCGCGTTCGCGAATGAGGAAATTTAGTTAGTGGAATTTTTGTTACACGCGAACGCGAGAGAGTGGCCGCGTTCGCGAAGAAGGGAACACCTCGGCAGATTTAAAAGTTCAAAATCGAGGGTTTATGTCATTTTTCACCATTTGGACTTGAGAGCTCAGAAATTGTTGGAGGGATTTTTACGTGGGTGTTTGGGATTTGGGTCATTCGGAGTCGGATATTCGTGGAAAGAGCATTGTTACGGATTGATTGAGCTTGGTTCGAGGTAAGTGGCTTGCCTAACCTTGTGTGGGGGAACTCCCCTTAGGACTCGGTACTGTTTTGATATGTGAGCGTCGTGTACGTGAAGTGACGAGTACGTACACGGGCTAATTGTTGTAAAAACCCAATTTCTGCTAAGTAATAACATGTTTTCCTTCTTAATTGAGTCATATAAGCATGTGTAGTATCCTGTTAGATTAGAATAGCATGTCTACTTGCCTTAATTGTCTATCTGAATTCCGTGCAGCATGTTTAGTAAATTTTCTGCTTTTCCTTGGCTTGTACTTAGTCTAAATTATAGGATTTCGTGTTGTAGCTGTTGAATTCTATTGTTTGAGCTGTGTATTTACTTTTGGGACTACGGAACGGTATTCCCGGAGATCCCCCTGCGTATTTACTTTGGGGACTACGGAACGGTATTCCCGGAGATCCCCCTGCGTATTTACTTTGGGGACTACGGAACGGTATTTCGGGAGATCCCCCTGCATATTTACTTTTGGGAGTATAGAACGTTATTCCGGGAGTTCCGCTTGCATATTTACATTTGGGACTACGGAACGGTATTCTAGGAGATCCCCCTTCATATTTACTTTTGGAACTACAGAACGGTATTCCGGGAGATCCTCCTGCATATTTACTTTTGGGACTACGGAACGGTATTCCGGGAGATCCCCTGCATATTTACTTTTGGGACTACCAAACGGTATTCCTGGAGATCCCCGTACATATTTACGTTTAGGACTACGAGACGGTATCTCAGGAGATCCCCTGTTGTTATCTCTGTGTGCTAGGCTGTTACCTTCCTACGGTTTCATTCTTATTAAATTTCTGTCTTAATTTTATTGTGATATTTTATTTTGCCTTGTTTTTATTATATATATATATATACAGTAGGGCCCTGACCTGACCCCGTCACTACTCGACCGAGGTTAGGCTTGGCACTTATTGGGTACCGTTGTGGTGTACTCACGCCCTTTCCTGCACATTTGTTTTTTTCGTGTGCAGATCCAGGTTTTGCTTACCAGTCTCGTCCTTAGTTGCAGCCGCTGATGTTTTCGGAGACTTCAAGGTACATCTGCCCGCGCGCGCAGATTCTCGGGGTCCCCCTCTATTCCCATATGTTCATTCTCCTCTTATTTCTATAGACAGTGATGTATAGAACAATTAGAATTTTGTAAAAACTTGTGACTTACGGTGTTCCGGGTCTTGGGAGTATTTTATATATTTCGAGAGTTGATTATTGTATATGCTGAGCGACATCTCAATTACTTATTAAAATATCTGTTACTGTTAGTTGTTAATTTTCATATTTTTCATTTCTTTTCCGCAAGTGTTAGGCTTACCTAATCGTAGAGACTAGGTGCCATCACGACAATTTAAGTAGGGAGAATTTGGGTCGTTAGAATCTTTTGATGTACATATTGGCACCTTCTTGGTGCAATTAATGCACAGTCAAATTACTTTTCCAAATTAAATAATAACAACCCCCGTGGACAATAGGTTTTGTGATTCGTTTATTCTGGCTTCCCCCAAGTATTCATGGAAGCGTAGCTCTAAAAGCTCAAGTCCTAAAGCCAACTCATGGATCCTGCAAATACCTAACAGAGAATATTGTCCATTCAGCATTTGGAAGTGTTAAAACTGCTTGAATTGGTTTCTTGGTGAGTCCTAGGAGAAGGTACATCTCAACTGGCTTCTGAAAGAGTTCCTAGAATGGAGTCAGGTGAGCTTTAAAACCTCTTAAAGTTCTCATTGATATGAATTTGCAACCCTTTATATTGTCGCTCGCATGCTCAGACAGGTCAAACCTTTCTGGTCGCATGCCAGTCATTTTGGGACTAGAAGCTGGTTCCCATTTTTCATTTTAGTAAGTGCTTAAAGTGTGAAAATGAATAGCCTATCTACGTGCAGGACTCACAAAATTCGGAAATGAAGGTAATTTTGGCGCACTTTGCTTCTTAGTTTTTGAGAACTCGAGGAATGGTAACTGGTGTTGAATGTTACGTTGTATTAATCAAAAGTATTGTTAATTTTTAAAGGAAAAACTAAGCTGCTAATAATAGTATCACCCATCAGAATCTAAGTACCTCTGATGTAGAATGATGTTCTGCACATAAGAGCGAAAAATGTAGTTTGTTGCCCGTAATTCTAATGTTTACAGTAGAGGTATATCACCCTATGAACTTGTTATTCAGGAAAGTTACAAATGAGGTAAAGCCACACTATGTGCACATGAACTAAAAAGGACTAAGCATCAACTATTGTCATCCGCAGATTTGCTTGTCACAATGTTATGTGCCATCATCTGTTTTTACTGATAATGCTGACATGCACAATATTACCTTGGATCTTTTTCTTAAATAAAAAATTTCAATATTACTTTTCATTACCCTTCTGAAACTCTAGCCTTTTGATGTGCTGAATGAACTGGTCTACGTAACTATCGTGGAGCCTGTGGTCACTAAAAATCTTTTGTACTTGAGCAGCTCTTGACCTCAATTTTTCTCCCTCGTCGGTATTCATCACTAATCTTATTGAGTTGGCTACAATGTCCTTGCAGAAGGAACCGTCTTCATTCCTTGGAACTTCGTGGCCTATCTCCTTTTCCACTAACAGCTTTGCATTAAGTCCTTGATCAGCAACCATCGGAATGAGAATCAGACGGTGCCCAAAGCTAAGAGCTTCAATAATGGTACCCCAACCAGAATGGAAAAGGCATCCTCCGATGGAAGGATGAGCTAGTATATCCTGTTGAGGTGCCCAACCAAGACTAACAATCCCCTGGTTTGATACTCGAGAGAGAAAACCTGTAGGTAATACTTCTTGATACTCTACGCCTTCTGGTTTTCTCAGAATCCATAGGAAGGTTTGCTCTGAAAGCTCAAGAGCCCAAGCCAACTCATGGATTTCCTTATTAGGCATCTTATACTCACTTCCGAAGCCAACAAATACCACAGACTTGGACTTTTGTTTATCCAGCCATCTGAAAATATGAGACCATCCTGAATCTGTTTGTGGCTGAGTCCCAGTTTCGGGTGCTGGTGAAAGTATGCCGATAGGTAAAACTGGTCTCTGATAAAGATCCTCAATTAGATTTATATATTTCTCTTCGAACTCATTGCAACTTCTCACTACAACAAATTTACATCCCTCCACAATTTTTGCTATACGTTGCCCACTGGATACACCAGATGCATCAGGACAATGAGTGTTATGCATCATTGTTGATGCATAATCAGGCCTGTGGGCTACCAGAGAGTGGAAGTTGAACCAAGGCGGAGGATGTACAAAATGTTCAGGGCGGGTACGTAGGGTGCCATTTTTAAGTTCAACAGGTGATCCCAGGTAAGCTAATGTTGAGGCTGTGTACACACTAAAGAAGGCAGTGGACACACCATATTTAGCAGCAATTTCTGGAATCCAGAACGGAGCAAAGTCGATCAGTATCAAGTCTGGCAGATTCTCAAGCAGCAACTCTTCAAATGGTAGGGCTAATTTGTCATATGCCTTTTTCAGGTACTGTATTTCCTCTGGTTGAAGATCAACGGTAGCCTCACAATTCACTGGCAGGCCACCTATCGATGGCAATGGGATCTCCAGCAGCTTTATTCTATCTCCTAAACTTGAGGGAATAGGGGGTAATCTCTGCAGGTTTTTTGGGGTGGAAACAAAGGAAACGCGTATCCCTTTTGCTGCCAATTTCTTTGATAATTCAAGGAAAGGTAGCATATGGCCAAAGGCTAACCATGGGAACACCATCACATGGTAGTTCTTGGTAGCCATAGTTATACTTTTCAAAAACAAACTAGCTGTTAAATGTGGAAAGCTACCAATGTGATATTATTTTTCGGGACGGTTGACCTTTAAATACAAAGGAAGTAGACGAATAACATATTTCACATGACATGCATGATAATCTCTTTGCTCTGGACTCCTAAGTTATAAAGAGTGCATTTTATGTTCAGTCTTAAGAGTTTTTGTATTCACAATCTTTAAGTGTTCCACTATTTCAGCAGATTAGGTTCTGGAAGTTGATGTGATTAACAGTTCTTTACGCATTTTTTAATCTTTGCTTCAGATTGCTTATTTTTGTTTCTCATCAAATCAGAAGCTTCCAAGAATTAGTTCATGACGAAATAAATAATAGAAGCTTCTTTCTTGCTCCAGGCTATACAAATTATTAACCTTAACACTCAAAAATTTCATAAAATCTTCAATGCAAAACACTACTTTTGATTGTGACAGTATTATCAATCTCTAATAAATGTATTTCTAAAAAGTAACCTGTCAATAAATAGATAAATAAATAAAATGTAGTCTAGAAAATATTTTTCACTCACCATCTAAATACCAAAGAACAATTTGTAAGATCATTTTTCAGGTAATCGTTTTCGAAGAGTACAGCTTCCTTCATAAACCACACAAGTTAACGTTTATTTTTGGCAAAATACATAATAAGACCCCATTAAATTTGTCCAAAAAACAGGTTTGAACACTTAAATTAAACGGGTATTCTTTTACCCTCCTAAACATATTTGGAATGAATTATTTCACCACCTGAAATATGAATACCAGTCTCACAATATGAGGTGTTTTTCCCGCGCGCCAAGTCAGGCACCATGTCAGCGCCACGTCAGAAATTTTCTATCTTTTGTAATTTTTACTCTTTTTCTTTTCCATTTTTCTTACTTCTAATACCCAGCCTCATATTGTGCCAAAATGGTATTTCCTACCGATCCATGCCATTCTTCGTAGTATACTTGACAAAGTCTTTTACAAACAAAAATATAATTTTGCTTAAACAAACTTATACAATAAACTGACAAATAAATAATTTTAATGACATTTTGGGTATTCCAAGCGCAAGCTTTGAAGCAAACTGAAGAATATTTGTTGCCATTTTCCTAGTTCCGGCGACATCTCCAACTTGCCTCATCTTCCTCTCTACGTTCAAAACCGCTTCTATTTGCGCCTCCAATTCAAAAATTCAAATGATTAAATAGAGGAATATATCGAAAATTAAGCACGAAATATATAAATCGAACATTTACCATATTGAATTTTTGAGTTTTTTGGAGTCCAATTGAGATCGATTTTGAAACCCTAGAAGAGAGACATAGAGAGAGAGAGACTTGTGTTTGAAGACTTTTAAACTGGGTGTTGCTGGATTTTGTTGGGTGCAATTTATGGAGTGTGTATCTAAAATTTGGGGAAATTTGATGAAGGATTTGAGTGGTTTCGAGTTGGATTAAAGCTTCAATAGGTTACTACACGATTTGTGAAGAAGAAAGGGACGAGGGGTGAGGAAGAAGGAGAAAGAAGAGGGCACTTCACTTTTTTATTTTAATTTTATGTTATGTACGCACTTTTAATTTGTTTTCTTTCTATTTTCTTGTCACATCAGCTGTTAAGGAGGAAAATAATTCACTTCTGATGTGTTTAGGGAGGTAAAAGAATACTCGTTTAGTTTAAGTGTTCAAACCTATTTTTTGGATAAATTTAATAGGGTCTTTGTGTATTTTGCCTTTATTTTTTGTTGATTGCTTTTTCATTTTCTTGGTCATTTCTGGACGGTAAATGTTAAGCCATTACAACTAGGGCTGTTTAAAATCGAACAGAAATCGTTAACCGAACCGATGGCTTATTGGCTTATTGGTATCAGATTATCGGGGTAATGGACGGTGAACAGATTGAGATTTTATAATTAACGGCTTAACGGTTTGGGGGCGGATTACTCAATTTTTTTATCGGGTAAACCGTTAACCCATTATAAATTTTTATATTTACACTTTTACCCTTATGTATATAAAGTACTATTGAAACCCCTATGTATTTACACTTTGTTTGACCAAAACAAGCTTGATGTCGATTTCTATTTGCCATAGGTACTTAAGAATGCATTACATATTAGATGAAAAAATTTTCAAGACTTGTATCAGTTGGACTTCTTCCCTCACAGAACAAACGGAGGAGGAATTCAAAGGAAAGGTTATCACTGAGGGGGTTGAAGTATGATGGTCCTTTCTCGAATAATTATTTGTCATGCAACTTAGCAAGTGTGGACAGCTGATGGCCATTATATGTTCTAATATATTTTGTTAGATGAACATGAGGATGATTGATAAGTTTTGTGGAATTGATTAGTGATCATATTGTAGTGCAATGAACTAGAAGTACTTGACTGGATTGTCTGGTTTTATGTCCTTTTTTAAAGTCTGCTTTTCTGGAAGAACGAATGTCCCTTTTTATCTTGTGAAGAACGAATGTTTGATTGATTATTGAACTTGGTTAATACGTGTATGAGTAGTCTTGAAGATTCTTCAATTCAAAAATACCATTGGTTAGATCTTAGATGGTATTAAAAATTGGTATTGATTTGAAACTGTTTGGTATCTGATTGAATGATTATTCAAAAAAATACTATTTGGTTTAGCCGATAAGCCGCCCAATAACCGCCCGATAATTATTAATATGATATCAATCCGCCCGTTGTCTTATTGGATGGATAGCAGATTACTATATTTATAATCCGATAAGCCGAACCGTTAAGCATAATTATCTGTCCGGTCTGTCCGATAAGCACCCCTAATTGCAACTACACAATACATGTATGCAGATCAGTTTGTTACATTAGGTAAACATTAATTTAAAGAGATTTTGGCATGGTATGACAATGTACTCACATAATTAGCAGCAAAAAGCCATACTTATAAATATTGGCACCAGGTAGCCAATAAATGTATATCACTACAAAAACGTGTATATCACAACTTTATTTTTACTTTTTGTGTATATCAAAATGTATATTAAAATTTTATTTTCATTATTTGTTTATCTAAAATATAAAATTATAAATATAGTTATAATTTATTGTCATCTCTATATCAATGTATATCATAATAAACATAATTGTATTATTTATATATGGCAGTGTATAACACATCGAATATGTGTATACCAAAATGGATATCACAAGTTTATTTTTCTTCTCTGTGTATATCAAAAAATTATTTTCCTTCTTTGTATATCAAAATATATATCAAAAAAATTATTTACTCCCACAACTTGCTCTGAAGATGTTATATCAAAAAATTATTTTCCTTCTTTGATCAAGAATAAAATTGAAGTAAGTTTATTCAGAATGAGTTTCGCGCTCTTAAAATCAAATTGGACGATTTGATTTCCATTTAACCTTATAGTGCCAAATCTAATAATGTATATCACGATATATAATATAATATACACACAGATACACATGGTGATATACATAGATGTAAGCCATCTCAAACACACATAATTCGATATTGTATATCACCTATATTTATTTCATGTATATCGTGCATTTATATACCTGTCTATGTATATCAATGAAAATATTGTGATATACAATGACATACAATATGATGTACATGTCTATGTATATCAATAAAAACCTTGTGTGATATACAGACTGATATATAACAGCCAAAACACGTATTGGTGATTATTTGCGAAATGTATATCACAATTTTATTTTCGTTCTTTGTGTATATCAAAATATTATTAAAATTTTATTTTCATTATTTGTATATCCAAACTATGAATTTATAAATATAGTTATCCAAAATTTATTTGTTGTCTCTATACCAATATATATATTATAATAAAAATAATTATATTATTTGTATATCGCAGTGTATAACATGTTAAATAATGTGTATTCCTATATATATATCATAAATTTATTTTCCTTCTTTGTGTATATCAAAAATTATTTTCCATCTTTGTATATCAAAATGTATATTAAAAATTTATTTACTCCCACAATTATATTTATGTCTTAGAACTTGCTATAAACTTATAGGTTACTCCCAAATTTGAGGAATGTAAAGGTTATTTGAGGAATAGTAATTCAAAACCTTTTAGGAATAAATTAATTTGTGAATTTTTTGCATAACATTTTGGTTAGCTAATGACTTTGGACTCACACACCACCATTGGATTGCAGCCGATATTGAAATAGATGAGTAGTATTTGAATAGGAAGTATCTGCTAACTCCAATTGAGCAAATATCCAATCAACAAAAGCTATATTGCAATGAAATACAACATGTCCGGAGTCCAGACTGCTAGTAGCAGACTTGATCTGAAGTCAGTGGCAGAGTCAGGATTTAAAGTTTATGGGTTTTGAATTTGTCTCGGAACCCATAGATCGTCTTAGTTTCTGGGTTCGCAATTAAATATTTGTACATATTTAATGAATTTTTTAATATAAATATAGTATTTAAACAAAAGTGACTGGGTTCGCCCGAACTCGTACCTATAAGGCTAGGTCCGCCTCTGTCTGGAGCTCAGTGATGCAACTAAAGCACAGACTCATTGTTTGGAGAACTTAAAATGGATAAAACCCTAACATTAGAGATAGTTGCAGTATGAGGTGCTATGATTTATCACAGCTACTATAAAGAGTAATTTGTAGTATAAATAATAATAAAAAATCATAGAGAGTGGAGATTATGTAATTAGTGCAATGTTGGAGGCCTAAGCAGTCAAATTGGCTCTTGTTTTGTTTTTATCGGTCGTATTTTTCATAGTTATTCCCAAAAAAAGATTTTGATTAGCTAACTATATATGCTTTCCCTGAAAGGTACTTCGTGTTTGCAGATAAGTTATAAATTAGCTTTGTTTGTGGATGATATGTAATAAATTAGCTGCTTTATTACTCTTGGTGTACTCGTACATTTTCCATTGATTTTTTTTTCTTTTTCGAAATCAGTTTAATCATAAAATTTTCAATTTCCACTTAAAAATAAATTTTAGAATTTTTCGAAAATTTAAAAAACTCCAAAAAGCTATTTTTCAAAATTTGCACTCAGACCACTTACAAAAATTCAAAAACAACCTAAATTTATATTCATGTCCAAACACAACTCTAATTTTCAAATACATTTTCACTTGAATTTTTTTCCCCATTTTTTCCTGGAATTTTACAATTCTTAAGTCCAAACGCCTACGTAAATTCAAAGGTGAGAGAATCTATACATCCCTCCCATCCTTTGGTGATCTATAATTAATTATTTAGGGGTTGTTTGGTTACCGGTTAGAGTTATGCAGGTATAAGTTATACATGTATTAGTTATATATGTATTAATTATGCAGAAATGAGTAATGCAGGGATTAGTTATGCATGTATTAGTTATGCAGGGATAAGTTATGCAAGGTTGAATTATGTCGGGATTAGTTATGCGGGGATTAATTATGCGGTAGTTATATAAGGATTAGTAATATAAATGTAATGTGAGTGTTATTTATTATTAGGTTACTTTATTTTATTAAAATTGTTAGTATAGTTTAAATATATATTTTTAAACAAAAAAATACAAGTTTGAATAAAGGGTATTTTTGTCATTTTGTATTTTAATTCAAGTATTACTAATACATGTATAAGTTATTCCACCTTCTACCCTGCATAAATAATACATAGATTCCCTCATAACTTATACATGTATTAGTTATGCCTAAAAGAAAAACATGAACCAAACATTGTATAACTTATGCTAGCTTCTATGTGGAGATTATTTTTTCCCCTTCTTTTAACCAAACAATGTATAAAGTTATCCTTATTTTAGTACATAGATAACTCCTCTCTAACCGGCTACCAAACGACCCCTTAGTGTTAATTAGTTACATTTACTACTATATAAAGACATAACACAAATATACGTATAAACTTAAAATTATTTTTGATTTGATGTCCTAGAGGCTACAGTAGTGGCGTCACTACAAAACTTAAATCCCAAAATAAAAGAACAAAAAGTAATGTCTGTTATAAAATATAAGTAACTTAGTAAAACATGAACAAGACATGTTGTTATGAAATAAAAGCAATTTAGTAAAATATGAACAAGGAATGGAGATAGAGAGAATGAAGAGATTTTCTTCTTCAATTGTGTGTATTTTCTTATCTATTACAAGGCCTTTATATAGGCATGAAAAGTAAAGAAAAATATATCATTGAATATGTCATTAAGCATAGAAATATGTCACTGTATGTCATTAAGCATTTGAGAAAATAATGGAGGAAGAGTAGACATCCACCAAAATTTGATTTTTCTTATAACACTCCCCCTTGGATGTCCATAGATAATGTGCCTCGTTAAAACTTTATTAAGAAAAAAAATCATATAGGAAAAAAAATCATAGTGAAGGAAAAAGAGTACACATGTTTAGAAATTCGCCTTTTGGTTGCCTCGTTAAAAACCTTGCAAGGAAAACCTAGTGGAACAAAATCTTGTAAGGAAAAAAGAGTACAACGCATATTAACTCCCCCTGATGAGAGCATCAATTCACATCCT